TTCTATTCTATTCTATTCTATTCTATTCTATTCTATTCTATTCTATTCCATTCTATTCCCTATTCTATTCCATTCTATTCCATTCTATTCTATTCTATTCCATTCTATTCTATTCCATTCTATTCCCTATTCTATTCTATTCTATTCTATTCTATTCCATTCTATTCCATTCTATTCCCTATTCCATTCTATTCCCTATTCCATTCTATTCCCTATTCCATTCTATTCTATTCTATTCATTCTATTCTATTCTATTCCATTCTATTCCCTATTCTATTCCATTCCATTCCATTCCATTCCATTCCATTCTATTCTATTCCATTCTATTCTATTATTCTATTCTATTCCATTCTATTCCCTATTCCATTTCTATTCTATTCTATTCCATTCCATGCCATTCCATTCCATTCCATTCCATTCCATTCTATTCTATTCTATTCTATTCTATTCTATTCTATTCTATTCTATTCTATTCTATTCTATTATTATTCTATTCTATTCCATTCTATTCCCTATTCTATTTCTATTCTATTCTATTCCATTCTATTCTATTCCCTATTCCATTCCATTCCATTCCATTCCATTCTATTCCCTATTCTATTCTATTCTATTCTATTCTATTCTATTCTATTCTATTCTATTCTATTCTATTCCATTCCATTCCATTCCATTCCATTCTATTCTATTCTATTGAATGGTCACTAAATGAGTTATTGTAAGTCGAAAACTACCTGTACTTTCAGGTGTCTTTCCTGGAGAAAAAGGATTGTGAAGCACACAGGAGTTACTTGGGGATAGCAAGAGGACAACTCTTAACTGCAAAAGGGCACACGCAATGCGCTTACAGACTTTTGGTACTGCGGGCTTTTATCGTCCTCTTCTTTTAACAACCCCATAATCACTTGTGGGGTGGAATCTGGGCAACTGAATGGAACTGAGTGTTGACTGGTGGGATGCCCTTCCTGTCGCCAATGCGGAACATATTTTTTTCAGCAGATATATATTGTAGCTGCTCAAAAAGCTGACCAAAAAATAATGGAGGTGTGTGGCCCACATCCATACTAAAGTCACCATCCTCATTGAAAGACCCCATAATCCCTTGCGGGATGGAGTCTAGGCCAGTGGCCCCCAACCTTTTTTGTGCCGCGGCCCGGTACCGGCATCACAAAATGATCCGCGGCCCGGTACCGGCATCAGCACGCATGTCAAGGCAAGCCGAGCCGAGCGACCGGCCAGCCAGCCGTCCCCCGCTTCTCCCCGCCACCTTCAACTCCTCCTTTGTACCTTTGTCGATGGACTTTGCTTCGGGACGGCTTCGGGACGGTCGCTCGGCTCGCCTTGCCTTGGGTGCTGAAGGAATCTTTGCGCCTTAGTTTCGTTCGAAGCCCCCCCCCTTCGATGAAACTAAGGCGCGAGGATTCCTTCAGGACCCAAACGCCGCTTTCCAACCGGAAAAGCTCACCCGGAAGCACTTTCTCGTCAAACAAGATGGCGGCGCCCAGCAAACCGGCGGCCCGGTAGGAAATGTTCCACGGACCGCTACCGGTCCACGGACCAGTGGTTGGGGACCCCTGGTCTAGGCAACTCAATGCAGCTGGGTGTTTACTGGCCGGATGCCTTTCCTGTCGCCAATGCGGAGTTTTGTTCAGCAGATATATTTCTCAGTGTGCCCAGAGAGAGAAATATCTGCCTCTACCCAGGATCGAACTCACAGCCTTCTGATTGTGAGGCGAGGGCTCCGCCTCTAGGCCATCACACCATTCCCACACCCGTACTAAAGTGGAACCTAAAAAGTCAATCATTCATACTTTTAAACCGTGATTTATTAGATGGCATGAACATGAATGCGCAGTGATCTTGCGTTCTCTTTTCTTCCTTGGAGAGCTGCTGTGTAATTTTCCTCTGCTCGCATCAGGTCTGTTTAGCTGAAACTTAAAAAGTCTTAGTAAAAGTAAATGACGAGAATTAGCCGTCCGACAACTGTTTGTTTTGTTGTTTTGTAAATAAGGAGAAGGGGGGAAAACACACACACACACACACACACATCCCTTTCTTAGGCTGATTGATAAAAGCTCCCCCACCCCCCGAGATACCAATTCTACCAGAAGGGGTAGAGAAAGTCCAGGAACATTTGCTATCCCATGCATCTGGATTTTACAATCCTTCCTTTCTGCCTTTTTTAGAATTAAAACGGAATAGGAAAAAAAAGGCAGCGGTTGCTCTTGCAAAATAAACTCCCCCTTTTCCAGAGGCCAAAGAGGGTTCTAGATTGGAGGTTGCCCACCCCACTTTTCTAGAAGGCTTACCTTGTTTTTTCCGATGTGTTACTCTCTTCTGATCTAGTATAAGACCTGTCAAGAGGATTTAAGAGAGAGTTACACCGTTTTGTATAGGTGACCCAACCATTATTCCGATTTCGTTTTGAAAATACATTCACCGTATTGCCGTCTTTTGCTAGAGCTGCCATAGCAATCAAGATGATTTTTATTTAATGTCTCCATGCATAAGCGCACCAACGTGCCTACCGTCCCTGTCCTATTGTTTCTCTTATTCTTCTTTTATTTTTCTTATATGTACCCATTTCATGTATTCACAACTATGTATACACTTATACTTATTATCTTGTAAACAATTGGCAAATCAAATAAATAAATAAATAAAAAATAAATATCCCACCTTCAGGGGTGGGATTGAAAAATTTCAGCAACCGGTTCTCTGCCCGGTTGCTGGGTGGGCGTGGCAAGACTAGCTGGAAATGTAAGGAAACTCCAGATGAAATAGAAATAACGAGGAAAATTTGGATGTGCGCAGAAATGGATAAATGGACAGAAGAGTTTTAAAAGATAAGGATGAATCTGATTATTACAAAATATGGGACGAGTTTTATCACAGGTTGGAAAAAAGGAAGGATCAAGAAAATAAGAAACGATTAAGGTTTATGTATATATTATATACTATGTATGTAGAATGTAAATATGTACTATTTTTTTATATGACTTGGCGATATAAGACAACTATGAGGGTTAAGATGATTGCACCGTGTTCATTGTTTCTTTTAAATGTCTTTTTCTTTCTTTTTTGTGTATATTTAATTTTAAAAAAATTTCAACAACTGGTTCTCTGCAGGGTTGCTGAGTGCCGTCCATGGTGGGCATGGCCTACTCAGCCTCCTGCACCACAGTGGGGGGGATGGTTTCACCCACCCCAGGCTCCGGAGGCGAAAATGGCCTCCCCTTGGGCTCCGGAGGCCCTTTGAAGGCCGGACTTCCAAGAGGCCCGTTTTTCTGCCCTCCCAGAGTTTCTGCGCAGGCCCTGCACTTATCTGGCCTCCAAAATGGGACAGGTGGGGACTCCTGGGAGGCATGGGGAGAGGTGGGAGGGGCCAGCCTGTCCTTGAAAATATCAGTTCAGCGGGCCAGGTGTAAAATTAGCAACCGGTTCACCTGAACCAGTCCGAACCGGCTGAATTCCCACCCTTGCCTGCCTTTGTTACTTTCATAAACAACTCAAGGCAGCAAACATATCCGACGCACCTTCCTCCTCATGTTTTCCCCACAGCAACAACCCTGTGAGTTTATCTGGGCTGAGAGAGAGAGAGTGACTGGCTCAAAATGACCCCGTCAGCTTTCATGGCTAAGGCAAGACTTGAACTCACAGTCTCTTGCTATCATCAATTATTTTCACTTTCAACTTTTTTTTAAAAAAAATGGGGGGGTTCCCCCACCCACCCACCACCCACCCCCATTCAATCAGGTCTGATTCTCAGAATCCGCCTGGACAAAAACCCTGCAGTTTTCTTAGCAAGATTTTTCAGGAAGGATGTTGCGTTCTTCCTAGGGCTGAAAAGGAGCGATTGGCCTAAGGACGCCCAGGTGGCTTTGTGCCTAAGGTAGAACTCGAACTCACAGTCTCCTGGTTTCTAGCCTAGGGCCTTAACTATTGCATCAGTTTGGGAGCAAATATTAAAAGTTCTATGTTAGGTTGGGCCACACGGAACTCAGGGAAGGGAGGAGCGGAAAGTTTGTCGATGAAAAAAAAACTGTAAATTCAGTTCTGGGGCTAAAAATCCATTCCTGGCCTCAGAAACATTATTCTGTAATTCTAAACATACGCCTGTCTGCTAAAATACCATTTTTGTTGATTCTACTTCACCGGCCTTTCAGTTTTAGCCCAAATCAGTAGAAATATTGCCCCCCGCCCCCCGAAAAAAATTGTGATAATTAAAAAACACAAGTTAAGCAGTTCCGTTCAGCTAAAGAAAGGGAAAGGACATGATTTTAACAGACCTTTAACCTAATTTTGCATTTCTGACCTATCATGCAACCTAAAATGCAAGTTGCTCAAACTGTGTGATTTTCTTAACGTTGCAAGGGTAGACTTAGAAGAAAAGAAATACTTGTAAAAGAAATATGTTCCCTGCATGGCGTTGGGGAGGCAGGGAACTGCCCCAAGCAAAACCACTCTTTTTATGGACGTGGTGGCTGCCATCTTGACTTTTTTTTTTTTTTTTGACCCTCCCTGCCACCCGTACACCTTTCTTAAAATCACTGAACCCTTCGGGAAGGTTGAAGGTCGACCCTGTTTCAAAGCAACTTACTCAGAATCCTCATCCAGGTCGTCATCTTCGAAGCAAGATTTTTTGATACGTTTCCATTTGACACCCAAAAGGGTGCTTCCAATAATAATGGGAAGGAACAGGAAAATGCTAAGCAGGATCCATGTCCGCATACTGTCTTCCCTGGCCTTTTTTTCAATATCTAGATAGAAAGAAGCCATCGGCGTCAACGATGAACAGCCCTCTCTCAACGGAGCAGGAGGGATACGGCATTGCCTATCTCCAGTCTACAAGAAAGTCCTTTCAGCCGTTTCAAGAAGACTCCACCACACACCCATTTGCACCGCTCCGGTGACGCTGAGGACACAGATAAACCTCCAAGTGGCCTCAACGACCCTCTCAAAGGATGCAAATGACCAGCTGTCTGCAAGAATATAAATCCTTCCATTCCCCAACATCCAGAGCTGAAGAAGCTTCTTGCATGAGAAGCAAAACGTCTTCAGAAGAAAAGTCTAGTTGCCTCCTGAAAAAAAGCACCTTCGGGATAGATAGAAACAGAGTTCACCCAACTCTATAAATCTGGATGGGTTCTGTGGTTGTGACGGCTGGGCAACCATGCCAATGCATGGAAAAACAACCAAATCCAGATAGAAGTGGGCAGGTGTCTGGAGAAATCCTTAGAGGTGTCTATCAGGGGCAAGTGGAGAACGGTGCAATCAGATGTCACAATACAAACCCATAACTTAAGGTGTCCAAAGCCAGAATTCAATACAATGGGGTTAGGTTTTGCATTATGACATCATCAGGTGTTCATCATACATGTCCTCTCGTTGGGAGATGTCAAGAAAAAGCATGGAATGTGGGAATGTGAGTTGTACAGATAGGTCCTTGACTTGCAAAAGTTCTGTCAACTCATAAAATATTCCTATGGTCTTTTTAGAGTTGCCAACGGAAAGGGAGGGGCAGAGCAGTGCAGCCGCTTGCAAAAACGAAACTGCATTCCATAAATGTTTTCAAAGATAGTGACTAGGTGACTGAAGTTTCTGCTGTGCAAATATCTAACTGGAGAACATGATTGATGACTCTGGGCTATGGATGTGTCCCATTGGAGAATATGGATTACGATACACCCAGGAGGTGGGGGGAAAACTCAGGGGTCAAAGGTGACAATGAATTGTGTGTCTCAGGGTCGGCTGCATGCAGGCAGTGCCGGCATGTTTACTCCTAATAAATCCTTTTGAAGTTTTGGAAGTTTGGCTCGAGACTCATGATTTAAATGGGGGTCACTGCCAGAATCCTGACAAGTTCACTCTAGTGACCATTCAGAGTTACAACAGCACTGAAAAAAAAGTGACTTACAATTCTTTTTTCAACACTTACGATCATGGAAGCATCCCCATGGTCCAGTGGTGGGGCTGCCACTGGTTGAACAACCGGCTCTACAACAGTGTTCGCACGGTGTTCAAACAACACCAATTTGAACCTCATCAGCTTACAATTTAGGGCAGCCATGGTAAGTAGAACAGTTTGCAAGAACCGGTCCGAACCGGCAGCAGCCCATACAGTGCCATGGTCACATGATCAAAGTTCAGACACTTGTGTCAAAAGAAAGGGCAGGCCTCTGACCATTCGAAGGGCCGGATTGATTGGTTTGGCTGGAGAACGTCCTTGTAAGATAACAAGTGACTGACCCAAATCCAGATAGCGAAGTCCGCTGTCAATGCTTCCTCCCATAGGGTTTCCTTTTATTCGGCAGTCTGGTGGAGCCCAGCCTGGGTCGCAGTGGCAATTTCTTTTGTTGTTACATACCTGGAAAACCAATCAGAGAAAATCTGGATGGATTTAAATCTTTCAGCTAGAGTCACTTCCAAATGGGAGGATACTTTTGGCGAGTGGAAAAAGTTGTCAAAGGAAAGGAAAGGAAAGGAAAGGAAAGGAAAGGAAGAAGGGAGGGGAAGAATGAAAAGAAAATGGAATAGAATGGAATGGAACAGAACAGAACAGAACAGAATAATGGAATATGGAATGGAAAGAAAATGGAATGGAGTGGAATGGAATGGAGTTCCTCAACTTTCAACTATTCCTTTAATGACCATTCAAAGATACATCAGCATTGATGAGCCCCGATGGCGCAGTGGTTAGGGTGCAGTACTGCAAGTAACTCCTACTACAATTTGGCAAATCGAATCCCACCAGGCTGAAAGTTGACTCAGCCTTCTATCCTTCTGAGGTGGGTAAAATGAGGACCCAGATTGTTGGGGGAAAAAGACACTTAGAGTGGGCTGTAAAGCACTATAAAGTGGTATATAAGTCTAAGTGCTATTGCTATTGCAAAATGCCTGGTTTTTGACTTATGACTGCTTTTCACTCTTACAATCATGGCAGCATCCTCAGGTCCAAGGTTGAGAAACATTGCACTAGGGCAGGCCACGGGTTTCAAACTCACGCCATCACATTGCCGTCTCGTGATAGATCACAATGTTTTTCCCCTTCACGTGGCCTGCGTGTGAGGCATCCGGCCTGTGGGTCCCCAATTTGAAACCCCCCTCTGGCACTAGGCCAACCTGGTCTCCAACTCCAAACTGGCTTTTTCGTGATCAAGAGTCTCTCTATCTCCTCTTTTGGAAAGAAATTCCCCCTTTTTTAACATTTCATGGGAAATATATTATTGTTATTGTTGTTGTTATTGTTGTTGTTATTTACTTACCCCATGTCCTGAGCATTTTTTCTTAAAATCACAATCATTATTCAGAACATCATAGCTTTCGCATTTTTGTCTGAGGCAAATCTACAAAGAACAATATTTTTTTCCAGGTTTTAAAACAAGAAATGCTTTTCAAAAGGCTTCATTTATTGGTTAGTTAGACTGATGTGCTGCATTTCCTCCGGGAGGTTAAGGCATTGTATCAAAACCCTCTCTGCTCTCATTGTTCTCCCCCCACATAATACTGTGAGGTGCAGCTCAGAGGTGGTGACTTGACGGAAACTCGTCGTGAGAACTTGTCCCAAGGGTGCTTTTTTTTTTTTTTTTTCAGGAGGAAAAAAAGATTTTTTTTCTTTGAAGACATTTCGCTTCTCATCCAAGAAGCTTCTTCAGCTCGGACAGGAAAATGGGGGAATGGAAGGATTTATTTTCTTTGCAGACCAGGGGTGGGATTCTACTGGTTCGGACCGGTTTGGGCAAACCGGATGTTCAATTTACATCTGGTTCAACGAACCGGTAGTTGAACCGGCCGGCTGGCCCTGCCCACCCTTCCCCTCCCAAGAGTCTCCACGTGACCCATTTTGGATACAGGTAAATGCACGGTATGCACGGAGGCTCTGAGAGGGCAAAAAACGAGCCTTCCAGAAGGCTGGAAACAGGCTTCCGTTTCCGGCTTCCGGGGGGCCTCCAGAACCCGGGGGAGGCCATTTTCGCCCTCCCAGAGGCCTGAGGGAAGCCTCCGGAACCTGGGGAAGGTAAAAAAAACGGCCCTCCTAAAAGTTCCAGTAGGCCACGCCCACCATGGCCACGCCCACCCGGCAACCAGGCAGCGAACCCATTGCTGGGATTTTTGAATCCCATCCTTGTTGCAAGACAGCTAGTCACTTGCATCCTTTATAGGGTCTCCTGCTTGAGCAAGGGGTTGGACTAGAAGACCTCCAAGGTTCCTTCCAACTCTATTATCGTCATGTTCTAAGGAATCTCCATCTCCTAAGCCTCTACTAGGGTACTGATACATCACTGGACAGATGTGTAACATGTAAGCTCGGAGGCACCCATATTTGACGAATTCAGGACCAACCCTTGGTAGAAAGCCAAAGTCTGAAATTCTAGATGCGAAGAAAGATGGTATTGTTGCTGTTGTTGTTGACCCTAATTCAAAATATTGTCATGTGGATGATGACCAGTGACAGATTTTTAGATGGCTGGTCACACAGCCAGATGTTTCCACTGTCAGGATTCCGGCAGTTACCCCCATTTAAATCATGAGTCTCGAGCCGAACTTCCAAAACTTAAAGAAGGTTTATTGGGAGTTAACATGTCCGGCACTGCCTGGATGTAGCTGACTCTGAGACACATCATTCACTGACACTCTTGACCCTGGTTTTCCCCCACCCACCCCCTGGGCGTATCGTAATTCATATTCTCCAATGGGACACCTCCACAGCCAAGAGTCATCAATCATACTCTCCAGTTAGAATTTTGCGCAGCAGAAACTTCGGTCACCTAGAAACTATCTTTGAAAACATTTATGGAATGCAAGCTGCCCACTGCTTCCCCCTCCCTTTCTGTTGGCAACTCTAAAAAGACCAGAGAAATATTTTATGAGTTGACATCATGTAGATGAAATCTGGCAATCTCATTTCATCCACCAACTTCATTTCATCCACCTAGGATAAGCTGATCTTGTTGTCCGATGGTGTTGTATCAGTATCATCTCAGAAAGCATTATTGTTAATAAATATTATTGATCTATATTGATCGTCGGCTTTTCTCCAGATGTTTGCACTACCAAAATGTGACATGGCCCAGTGCAGAATTAGTATTACTTAGAACATCACTGTCATCATCCTGATCCAAGTGGTTTTCCTTACCTTACCAAGTCCGCATTTTGTTCCCTCTTTCACCATCATAGGGTTCGGTGTGCCATCTGGATGGTTAAGGTCCAAGGACACACAGACAACGTTCTTCACCGGCATATACAAGACGGGAACGTTAAGTTTAGTGTAAGGAGTGTCGTAGGGATATGTGCAAATTAACTTTCCACATTTGAGATCCCTGTAAAATATGAGGTGAAGATGATGAAGATGAAGGGGAAGGGGTAGAGGAGGGGTGGAGAGGGGAGGGGAGGGGAGGGGAGGGGAGGGGAGAGGAGAG